CCCCCAGAACCACAGCCCCCCCACCGGGGCCCCTGTGCATAGCAGCGAAATGCAGCACCCCGAGAGCCCCAACCCCAGCTGCACCCGCCAGTGCTGGCCACCAGGGCCCTTAACAGGAGCCAGCACAGCGCAGGTGAGCGGTGCGGTACGGTGAGGTCACCAGGCCGGCCGGGGACCCCAGCCCGGCAGGGGGCAGGCCTGGGGAGGCAGGAGGGGGCCGTGCCCACGGGGGCGGCCGCTCGCACCCACGCAGGTCTTCTGGTCTGCGTCCAGCTGGTAGCCGCTGGGGCAGGTGCACCGGGGCCCCTCGCTGCTGTGGCTGCAGCCATGGGAGCAGCCCCCGTTGCCCGCCTCACAGCTGTTCACGATCTCCAGCTCGATCCCTGCGGGGGCCACCGGGAACGTGGGCCACGCTGGCCCCAGCTCTCTGCTGGCCACGGGCCCGAGCTCCGGGGTCTGGCTGGCTGCAGGCCCCCGGTCCCCGGCCACCTGCCCTCCCTGCTCCTAGGGCCCGGCGCAGCCCACCCGGCCCGTCCGAGACGCCAGGCAGGTCCCTGCCCGCACCCCCACCCCAGGTGGGGTCACCCAGTGTCCACTCACGGTAGCACTGCCGGCCGTCGGCGCCCAGCTCATAGCCCGCGTGGCACACGCACTTGAAGGAGCCTCGCGTGTTGAGGCAGCCGTGGGCGCACCGGGCCAGCCCCGTGGTGCACTCGTCCACGTCTGGGTGGGGACCACAGCAGGCTCTGGGCATCCGCGGGGGCCCGGAGGCACCCCAGTGCGCCCCGCCCCGGGGCCCGCGGCCCGCTCCCTCTCCCACGTGGCGCCTCCTGGCCGACGGGTCCCGCGGGCCCACGCCCCAGGTGAGGCAGGCACAGGCGGGGTGCAGGCCTCCCCGCAGCCACCCCTGCACAGGGGACCGGCCCCAGGCCCCGGCCGCTCTAGCCAGGTACGCTGACCGCAGACGCCTGGTCACTTCGGGGACTCAACTTCTGTCTGTGCGGATGCCTAGCTCCTCCCCAGAGCTCCTCACAGTGGGGACGAGGGGCACCCCAAAGTCCAGGAGTGAGCAGAGCCCTGCAGCCATTCCAGAGTCGCCGGGCCAGGACCCGGGGAGACGCTACACGCCCCCACAGCCAGCACGGGCGCCACGGGGCACCGCGCCCACGCCCTTTCCCTACGGGTCCGGAGGGCGGCCACCCTCAGGCCCAGCCTGCGCACAGACCAGCTCGACCCGCTCCGGCTGGGGC